TAATGGCTGCCTCATTGTGAAGTCTGAAGGTAACTTTAGTAGTGTCTTGGGGTAGTTTACCAAGAGTTGTTATGAGGAAAGTAGGGTAGTGGTCTGTGGTATTATCTGTAATTATGCCTGATTTTAAAGGGGATATGGTGTTGGTCCAGATGTGGTCAAGTAGGGAAACACTAGTCTCTGTAGCTCTTGTAGGTTTTGTTACTGTTGGTAGTAACATACAGTTACTCATTGTGTTTGTGAATTCAGTAACGTGTGGGTCCTGGTCTTGCAGGAGATTTATATTGAAGTCACCTGAGAGTAGTAAGTGATCTTTGTTCATGCGTGCATCAGTTATCATACTTCCTAGATTTTGACTAAATTGGCTAATGTTTGACTGTGGAACTCTGTAGATGTTTATCAATGTGAGAGGTTTTTGTAGGTACTTGGATTTGAATTTAGCTATTATATATCATATATCATTATATATCATAGAATATATGTGTGGGTGGGTTGGCCTGGTTTGGTAGCCCGGCTGACTACCATACATACCACACTTGATTTTTTACAATAATTACTACTCATCTCACCCTAGATTAAGACTACAAATATTTTAAGGTAAGTAATGAGTAAACTGTATATGCATTTTATCGCTCTGGGATGCTTAAATGTAATAGAATATTATGTGTAGGTGGGTTGGCCTGGTATGGTAGCCTGGCCGACTACCATACATACCACACTTGATTTCTTACAATAAATACTACTTGTCTCACCCTAGATTGAGACTATAAATATTTTAAGGTAAGTAATGAGTGCACTATGTGTGTATTGTACTTTTTTATTGTTTTTTGATGCCTAGTTCTATTACTAACTTAATATATGTTAGTATAAACTTGTTATCTAGTATTTGTATGCATTTATAAGTGGAAAAAAAGGGTGTACCACTTTACGGCAATTTCCGCTTTACGGCGGTAGCCTGGAACCTAACCTGCCGTATAAGTGGGGCCCTACTGTAGTAGATATGCTGCTGCCCACTACCACTAAAATGTACGGCTTATGCTCTCAGTGGCCTTTATAAATCCAACAACAACAACACACAATCACTCGCTCTATACATAATGACATTTTATTCATTCTAGAGTAAATATCATGGTTTCTAGGTTATTAATATTGTTTATGTCATATTAGATGAATTGTGATAGATAAATAAGCCGTAGAGTTGATAATAACATCATGTTTAAGCCTCCCTTGCTGTTTTGTATATGCCAACAAGACTCTTCAATTAAGGTAAAAGTCATTTAACCCTTTGAGGGTCGACAGGCCCTCTCCGAAACTCGTTCTCAGGGTCGGCCAAATTTCAAAAAAAAAAAAATTATTTTTTCTTATGAAAAAATAGAGTTTTTTTTTCTAAACATTATAGGATAAACAAAAAAAATTTACCATCAATACTTACGGAGATATGGATGCATGAAGTTTGCAGAAAATGAGCCGCGTATGGCAACAGCGGCGACTGCCGCTCACCCGGTAAACTTTGATTTACTTGTATGTGAAGGTTTGTTGTTTTTTTCACTATTTTATTTTTTCACATAACTTATGTGGCCTGTGAGACCAAAGTAAGGTGCAATGTACATATATACACTCGTTGTATACAACACAATAAGCACACAAACATAATTATCAATATATTATTTACAAAATTTGTTTAGAAAAACAAACAATACAAAACATTGTTTATTATTATTGTTCTATAATATATATACCAATATACAGTCACTGAACATATTCCTATTAGTTCTGCAGCTTGTGGAACTCTGAAACATGGTGTCATACACAATGGTGTTTTATCTTTCTCCCTCATTCTATCTCTTTCAATCTGTCTCTCTCTTTCTATCTGTCTGTCTATCTCTGTCTCACAGGTACACATAAATACAAGTATACATAGTATAAATTACCTAGGATAACCCAAGAAATCCAGACAAAGTGCTATACTCTGCTTGATGTGAGTAAAAGTGATGACACAGTCTTGTGGCTCTCTGAGACAGAGAGCTAGACGGATAGACAGATAGACAGGGAGCTTGACAGACAGACAAATAGACAGACAGAAATGTTAGTGTACCAGTACCAGTGTACTAGTGTTCCACCCTCCTCCTCCTCTTCTTCCTCTTCCTCCTCTTCCCCTACTCTTCCTCCTCTTCCCCCTACTCTTCCTCATACTCTTCCTCTTCCTCCTCTTCCTCTTCCTCCTACTCTTCCTCTTCCTCCTCCTCCTCTTCCTCCTCCTCCTCTTCTTCCTCTTCCTCCTACTCTTCCTCCTCCTCCTCCTCTTCCTCTTCCTCCTCTTCCCCCTAATCTTCCTCCTACTATTCCTCTTCCTCCTCCTCTTCCTCTTATTCCTCTTCCTCCTACTCTTCCTCTTCCTCCTCCTCCTCTTCCTCCTCCTCCTCTTCTTCCTCTTCCCCCTACTCTTCCTCCTTCTCCTTCTTCTCCTCGTCCATAGTGTAAATTACAAGGAGTCGGCAGCTGTCAAAGTGACATATTGGCTCATTACTCTTTCCCCCTCCGGCCTGTCAAAACAATGGGGTCGGATGCTGCTTCCCCTCCTCCATTCTATCTAATTATCTTTCTCCCTCATTCTATCTGTCTGTCTATCTGTCTCACAGGTACACATAAATACAAGTATACATAGTATAAATTACCTAGGAAAACCCCAAGAAACCAGACAAAGTGCTATACTCTGCTTGAAGATGTGAGTAAAAGTGATGACGCAGTCTTGTGGCTCTCTGAGACAGAGAGCTAGATGGATAGACAGGGAGCTTGACAGACAGGCAAATAGACAGACAGAAATGTTAGTATACCAGCAAAAACAAAGGGAGGGCGATGTTCATCTCATCTTTTGGCATCAGCTCTACCCTCATTTACCCTCATCAAACGTCAGCACTTATTAGATGTTCTCTCCCCTTATCTTGTTACTGTCATGGGTGAACATTTATTATTACATATTATTATTATTACCTATTATTATTATTATGTATTATTATTATTATGTATTATTATTATTATGTATTATTATTATTATGTATTATTGTTATCATTACGTATTCTTCTTCCTCCTCCTCCTCCTCCTCCTCTTCTCTTCCCCTCCTCTCTTCCTCCTCCTTTCCCCTTCTCTCTCCTCCTCCTCCTCCTCCCTTTTCTTCCTCCTCCTCCTCCTCTCTCCTTCCCTTTCCCTCCTCCTCCTCCTCCTCCTCCTCCTCTCCTCCTCCTCCCCCTCCTCTCTCCTCCTCTTCCTCTCTCCTCCCCTCTGCCCTCCTCTCCCTCTGCCTCCTCCTTCCCTCCTTCCCCATTCTTGGAACAAGTTTGAAGAGCTTGTAGTTCATAATCACTATCATTATCATCACCAATGCTCACATCTGAGTCTGGGATTTTGGAAAATAGGAGTTTCCTCTTTGATTCTGGTACAACTGAACGACGGCCCAGCACCAGAGGTGGAAGGCTGTGGTTGTCTGGGTTTTCCTCACTATTACCCATATTATGGTCATTAGTTTCGGTCAAAACCTCACCAGAACCTTGAAACTCATCTTCACTGTCACTTCCATCTGTATTAGAACTGTCACTGGGGAACATAAGTGTCCCAATTCGCCGAGGAGTGAGGAACTTCTTACCGCAGGGCACGGTGGAAATTGTGTACTATGATGGCATTCCCACAATGCACCACTGGGTCCAAGATTTTTTTCCTACTGCGCACACCCACCACACAGACCCATTCTCTCACATCTAGGCTTATCAGCCTTTTCCTGCGAGATTTGAGGCCGCTAGAATTTATGCGTACTAGTACGTCAAAAACCCCTACGCGTAAGACGTACTACTACGACCAAAACCCTCAAAGGGTTAAATGTTCATTTATCCATTTCATTAGTCATTTTATTTAGTTCTCATTGTTTTCTGTATGTAAAACTGTAGTTAATCTTTAAAAAATGCATTTTTTGTTAATATTTTTGGGTGTCTGAAATGGATTAATTGGATTTATATTAACTCTGAAACTGTCCAAACGTAGATCTACGTTCACTTACATAGCGCTTTGAATGTAGATCTACATTTTTTTTTCATAAAGCATGTAAAATCGAACGTAGATCTACGTTCGAAGCGCTATGCAAGTGAACATGGATCTATGTTTGGACAGTTTAGGGGTTAATTCTTATGGGAAATATTTCGGTTATCGGCCATTTCGCTTTTAGGCCGACCTTCTGGAACGGATTATGGCTGATAACTGAGGGTTCAATGTAGTGACTTTGAGGCATTTTCTAGTGTGATTTTTTTTTTTTTTTTGCTGTTTCTTGGTATCACTTGATAGAATGGAAAACATATTAGTAAAATAGAGAGGATTTTGGTTGGTTTCAGACTGGTAGTAGCTTGGAAATGGCACAGAGTTGCAGAAATATTAAATTTTGACAATTTTCCTGAGGAAGAGTGAAAGAGTGCAAGTGCATGAATGAGTGAATGAATGAATTAATTAATTTAATGGTTATCATCAAGGGCTGAGCTGCATTAGAGGCCTTGCTGTTCAGAGGTACTGTAATTTCTTCTGGGCAACATTTAGGTTATGAAGATAAGCTTCTTATTTGTAGTTACAAATTTAAACTCCCCACAAAAGTAAAACCTTTCAAAAGGAATTAGAACTAATTCCTGCAACATGTGGCAGATCATCCAAGTTGTGATGACTATGTTGGACAGCAATTGACTAGCAGCTATAGCCAGTTGATCAGGCAGTCAACAAGAAAGTTTGGCATCAAGGCCAGGCTGTGAAGGTAGATGAACCCTCTAAGCTAGTGACAAATTTGTTAACATCCTAGTCACAACCATAACTGCTTGGAAACTTTGCAAGTTTAAAAATGGCACAGATGATCTGATCTTGCATAAATTTGTATACAGTGTTGTTAAACCTTTGCTTTTTCTCTTCAAAATTTCTTAATATAGACAAATTGTTACTTTTTTCATCTTGGTACTATACATTTTTTTATCCACAGGCAAAATGGATTCCCTTCATAGCTACCTAATGTTGATTCAAGAATATGTCAATCATTTATGTGAAGGAAAGCCAGCATGGGAGATAATCTTGAGAACAGCAGGAACAACCATATTGTTAATATGGGTTAGAAATTTTCTGTTTAAAGATGAAAGTACGTATGTTTTATACAAGGCCTGTTTTCTCTTTCAAATTCAGAGTTCTTTGTATGTAGTTGGCCTCCTTTCAGTGTTAAATTCTTTCTTTGAATCTCACATTCATTTAGTGAATTTTTAGTCTGCAGTGAGTAGAGGCCTGATCTTATGAATATTGCAATCTTTTGTAATGAAAATGTTTGTCTTCTGCTGTGCTTATAGATAAATAATTTTTTTATAGCTCTCCTAGAACGAGGAATAAAGGCATTTTTTAAATTGGCTAGAAAAGTTCCACCAGTGAAGTCCAGGATTGAGAAAGAAATAGAAAAGGTTTGTAATCATTTGTTAAAATTTATGAAAAAATATCGAAAATACATAGAAGCACATACTTCTCCTTAAATAGTGTCAAATTGCAGGAATGAGTTTAGAGATGGGCTGATATAGTACAAGCCTAAACCACTGGAAAATCATGCTGTACACCACACTTATGGCACATAAAGAAACGAGGCTGGACACCATAAATAGCTCATTAGTTCACAATAACCTCTCTTGTCAGTGCTTTTCAGTTGTACAGAGGATCACTCTCATATTCTTATTAATATCATGTCTTTAAGCAGAAGTGTGAGGTAGGCTATCTGCATGAGAAGGAAGGTGCATCTTTTGGTTAGGCATTAACTCACCTTACATTAAGGCTTCCTTTTGTCTGTCTTATATTTTGGCATAACCCATCATCCTTTCTGTCCCGTTGTGCCCTCCAATATCTTCAGACACTCCTACTTAGTTACATTCCCTATCCTCATTTGCTTGTGTCCTTTTCATAGCCCTTCTGTCCTCATTTTTATAGTGGAGGCAGAGGTGTGCATGTTCTCATCCTTTTCATAACCTATTATGGTTGTGCCTACCTTGCCTCTGCTTCTGACTGTTGTGTATCAATAAGAAGACAGACTTTCTGAGCAACCTCTTGTCCAGTTAGACTGCACACTTTCCTCCAAATTGCTGTTCGTGCATTTCTGACCGATCTAACATGGCCCAACCTTTGGACGACGACCTGCTTACACTAGTGGCAGGTCCCACTGTGATCCCGCCTCCTCCTGCTTCAACTCATCTCACCGCAGTATATAAGCCACCTCTCTGGCCCTATGCTGCACTTCCTACAAGAGTGATTGACTGAACACATCGATTCCAGGTTGAGGGACTGATTACCTCATACTTCTACTCTCCTTACCCATTTCTACTTTGTATTGGACTGATGAAGCCACTGTGTGGCGAAACATTTCTTCAATAAAGATTCCCATGTGTTGCATAAGTGTCTCAATTTTTCAACTTGTCGGTTTTCAAAACCATTCATCACATTTATTATTCTGTTTGGGTAGGTTAACATATATCAATCTATGCAATACAGTCTCAAGCAGATGACCAGGGTATGCAATTTCCACCACTGTGTTTTAATTACATATTAACCTGTATTCACATTCTGGTGTAATTAACCAATAATGAAATAAAAAAAATACAGGACACACACATGGCAGCTTGAGACAGGCAGTTCCTTCTTACAGCATCTGTTTTCTCCTGAATGCTATAAAATTGGAAAATAGGTTGTTAAGGGGTTTTCCCACTTTTCTTCTGATGCATATCTTTCTGTTGTTCCTCTGTCTGTCACCTCTGTTATTCTGTTTAATCCTTTGACTGTTTTTAGGCCCCTTTCTGAAACTGTCATTCTATGTCGCTCAATTTTTGAAAAAAAAATTATTTTTTCTTATGAAATGATAGAGAATCTTTTCCCGATGGTAATGACACCAAAAGTTCGAAAATTGGTCGAAAACTCATGGAATTATGCTCCCACGAAGTTAGCGGTCGGCGATATATGCGTATCGGCGATTTCGCCGACTTTGAGCCCTATTTTCAGCCAATTCCATTGTTCCAGTCGACCAAACTCATAGCTATTTCTTTAGAACTCCATTTTATCTATCAGCTGAGTACAAGAAACCTCCCATTTACTAATTTGGACTACCCAATATGGTGGTCAGAAATTGGCAATTTGGCCAATTTTATGCAAACTAAAAAAGATGCCAATTTCAAAATAGGGTCCAGAATAAACAAGGTAGACATTCGTGGCACTAAAATAACATATGCTCTGTTCATTAGTCACATCTCTAGGCCCCTCTTATATTATTATTGCTTTCTATTTTGATTTTTTATTCATACAAAAAAATACAAAATGTACTGTTATGCAGACTACTGCATTATTGTAAAAATGGTATAAATAATATCAGTGCACCAGTGAAAGAATATTAGACTCCCCAGTTGACGTGTATTGGACGTGTGGTGTGATTTATTTACTCCTGAACATTAGTAAAAATCGAACATTTCCTCTACTTTGAGCTCAGTTTCAAGGTCGTTTTCATCATCAAAGTAATGAAAATCATCTCTATTTCTGTAATATTTTTTCCATTTTATCACCTAAGACCATGAAAACGCGAATACAACGATAAATACTATACGAAAATACACCTCAAAGTCAGCGTTTTATTCCAAAAAAACGATCAGAGTTTTTTTTTCTCATTACGCAATGTGTGCTGCAGGATTTTTTTATGTGGTGCACACTGACCACACAGACCCATTCTCTCACATGTGGGCCTACCAGCTTTCTCCCGCTTGATTTGAAGCCGCTAGAATTATTGAGTATATATACGTCAGAAACATTGGCTCGTAAGACGTATTTATACGTTGAAAACAGTCAAAGGGTTAAATGCAGTTTAGGATGTTTTGGACATAGAGACATTTAGAGACTGTAGTGGCTTTTACATAGCTCTATGGTATAAACCTTGGTAATAAATACCGACAAGTTGGTTTAGAAAGACACGTAAGCAAACACTATAACATATTTATTAGAAAACGAAAACGTTTAGAAGTGATCAAGGTCCCAGGACCGAAACGTTTTCTAATAAATATGTTATAGTGTTTGCTTACGTGTCTTTCTAAACCAACATAGCTCTATACCATGGTGCTCTCACAAATGTGAGGTCTCAGGAGTATTTTGTTTCTTTCTTCAGGTACCTAGCTGTCAATCTGTGAGGTGCCCTAAATAATGTTGTAGCTTTTGCCACTTCCATCTAACTACCTACCTCTTGTGGAGGTAGGTACTGTGCTGTATTTTGTTGCTGCCTCCTACTTCACTGATATTTGTCTCTCTTTTTTGAATGTCTTTCTCCTCTTTTATTTTATTTAGCTTATACTTTCTGTCATAGGATGGGACCTTAGAAGATGTAGAGGTAATCAGTAAGATCTTCAGCTGTTTTGTCTTAATTTTTTCTTTACAGGCCATTGTTTCTCTTGATATTGTCTTTGTGCATTGTACAATATTTTTGCACTTCTTGTGTCTACTGATATTTAGTATACTAGATTTTATGTTCAGACTCCACACACTACTCAGTATTACTGAAATTTATTTATTGCAGGAAAGTGCTCTACAGTCTGTTTCTTATACATCTTTCCTTGTACATCTGTTAGATAACCTGCAGACCCTAATTTTATCCTCCAAATCGCTCCTGCTGTCGAGTGATTTTTAATTTGCATCATTTACTTTGGGGCCGGTTTCATCGAGAGACTGTGACCTATGTCAATAAGTTCTCTACCATTGCTTCAACCCTAAATATTTAGACCCTTTACTTTTAACTCATTTTTGTATTGGCCTTTCAATTTTCTCATCTTCCATTGCTCTAGACTTTTGACAATAATAAATGATCTCCACAGTTTCGATCATTTCCCCTTCATCATTGTCTCTCTCTCATACATATACTTCTCACCATCCAGGTAGCAATTTTAGTGTGCAGGCTAGGTTCACTTTCTCCTTTTTTTTTTTTTTTATACATTTTGACAATTTTCATCATTGAATGGCTACATTTTTTTGTTTGCCTCCTTCTTCTTAGCTGATTTTGTTGCTATTCACACCATGGTTCTTGAAAACTTTCACAAATGTGTCCTTGATTACCTGTTAAGGATTTTTGTGTCCTGTTGTTTGCATTTAATCTGTCATATCAGTATTGAAAATTTCAAGTGGTTGTAGCAGTTATGGGTACTACCTCTTGGATACCATTCCAGAATTTAACTACTATATTTTTTAAGGAAAAAATTTTAGTATAATTCTGATGCCTTTTTTCTTCTCGGTATGCAGCTGTGGCCTTCTGTTCTACCTGTTTGTGCTAAAAATCATCTTTATGATTTTTCTCACATATTTACCATTTTTTGACTCTTAAAATCCTGGCAGCTTCATTGGTTCACGTTAGTGACAAATGCTGTTCTTTAATCAAACCACAATTCAGCTGCTGGCCATCCTTTCTTCCTTTGTCTCTGTTGGTTGAGGGAAGCTGGGCTCCCTTGCCTGTATGTAAGTCATAACATACTTTATCTTTGTCATCTTGAGGAGCCCCCAGTGGTGCTCTGTAGTAATTGTCAGTGATAACTTTTTTTTACATCTAAGGTTATGTTGACTTCATTTTTAACCTTCAGTTCCCTTACTTAATCTGCCTTTTTGTTTGACAGTCTTGCCTGTAAAGTGGACTTTGTAATATTTTTGAAGTGAAACTGATTCATTGTGATAAAAATGATATTCTCATTCTCTTGTCTTAATCTTCACCGCTGGTACAGGTACACCACTGATTTTATGGGACCTGATGATCCAGACCTCTTGTATTCAGGACAGAATTACAAGGGTACCTGAATTCCTGTATCTGCCAGATTAATTTACTAAGCACCACAAATGGCACACTTGCTTACATTGTTTACATCACATTTGTTGGTGGTGATTCCTTGATTTTGTGCAACTTAACTTATTTTCCAAGTATCAGTGATGTAGCTGTAAGACTTACTACTGATAAGTTAATTGAGCTGTGAGTTGAATTAAGCAAAGCTCTTCAGTTTTAGTAAAATTCTTAAATTACCACTTTGGGAGTGATAGTACTGCAACATTCTTTTTAGGTACAATAATTAATAGACCATGGTGCTTTAGAGATATGGTAGGTGTATAATTAGTGGGTAAGAGGTGTATTATTAAATTATTATGTGACCTCTGTTGGTCTGGCAGAATGGAGAATTCAACAAGGCTGTGGAACCAAGGGTGCTGGAAAATCAGTGGTGTACTTGCACTACTTAATTTCTATCATCAGCTGAACTCTTGCCATGCAACACTGAAAGACCCACATGGGTATAGCATTTTGAATATATATAATGCTATTTTTTTTTTTTAAACACTGGCTACTTCCCACCAAAACTGTGTGGACATCACAGTTCAGATGACCCTCCAAACTATAATATCCCCATCCCTTCTTGAGAGTGTAGGCATTTACTTCCTACCTCCAGGACTCAAAGTCCAACTATCCAGTTTCTCTGAGTCCCATCATAAATGATACCTTGCCCATATTAAAAAATCTGTAATTATTTACTATTGTATATTTATATGTACCTATACATAAAATAACATAGATGTGTATTTATAGGTTCAACTGCTTAGGGAGGTAGACAAATCCTGAAAATAAATAGGTACAGTCTATTAGTGGCTTGCACATTTATGAATGCACCCTCTTCACTGGCTTTGATAAATTATATTCATTATACTTACATAAAGTTGATAAGTTATTGATATAGTAGCTCTTCTTATAGTTTGTCTTTTACAAATAATAAATGCATTTTGCACCAGGTGACCATTTCAATGACAAATGACTTTAATAAGGCCATCAACAACTCATCATATCTAACTGAACTGCCGGAGAAAGGCTGGAGTCCTGAGACGATTATGGAAGAAGCTGCTAAATATGCACAGTTTGGTAAGAAAAATAACAGTTGGGCAAATAAGTGGTATTTACAAGGGGGAGGACTGTTTTACTTTGTTTTTTTATTTGTAAATTTAAACTTACTACCCTACAAGTATCTAAAGAAGAGCCATTTATGCTTCAGTAACATGCAGTATCTACAGTAGTAGTGTTTTAGTGTGCAACAGTATCAGTTAAAAACATTCCTGTCTCTTAATGTCCATTCCATTTACTATGAATAGAATGGCCCTCAGTTTATTCAGTATGCACCAGTTAGTGAATATGCAACTATAGACCTTTAACATCTGTCATCTTTGGATTGTGCTCTACAAGTGAAAATGCAGTTCTAACACTTTTACCAGTTGGTTATATTCTACATGCACTTTGTATGTATAACTCATCATTTTAAGCATTAATTTCTGTGCATTTTTTGGGGCCACATTATTTTGTAGAATAGGACAGTACATTTGCAAAGAAAATTTGATAAGATTGTTTGTTGCAGGCAAATTCAAATGGGAGACTGGGTGTGCATCTGGCACTGTCTACAATGGTAACCAAACACTCACTGACCTCATGACCAGAATATATGGTATGTTAGAGTTGGAGTAAACTATTTGTTACTAATTGAGCTGTGAATATTTTATGGTTTGCCCTCATTCAAATTTTTCCAACTTGAAAATACTAATACCATACATACTTGTGTTCATTCCACAATTTCAAAATGCTTCACTGTAATGCAGTGCTGACCTAAGACACTGCTTAGATAGGCATCACACTCCAAGCAAATGCTCCTTTGTTATTCCTCTTGTTAGCCTAAGCCACCATATAAACCTCATGCAAATGAAAGGGGCTAAAATTGTGGAGTAACTTACCAGTTGAATTAAAAAATTGTACATTAATAAATTCAAACAAAAATGTTTAATGTATTTCCCTAAAAGACTTTGAATGTAACTCCTTAAATTGCCAGTATACAGCCTCTCCTCACTTAACGGCGGAGTTACGTTGCTAAGACCATGTCGGTAAACAATTCGTCACTAATTGACGAGCATACTATAATGGTAGTGAGTTTGTGTCAGCCATGTTTGATATTGTTTTAACCTTTTCAGGGTCCGTCCCGTAGATCTACGGCTTTACGTTCAGGGTCCAAACCGTAGATCTACACCAAAATTCTAGCAGCGTCAAATTTAGCGTGAGATGGCTGGTAGGCCTACATCTGAGAAAATGGGTCTGGGTGGTCATTGTGCACACTATAGAAAAAATTTGGACGCCCACATGGCATTGTGGGAACGCCGGCAAAGTAGCTTTGTTCATTGTGCCTGGCGGCAAGGAAGCTCTCACTCCTCACTCACTCTCTGGGTGAATTCTGACTCTCCTCTTTACAACTTAAAGTTCTAAGACTGATGGAAGTGGAGCTGAAGAGGAATTCTATGGTTTTGAACCATATGGTACCATTGTACCATATGGTACAATGGTGCCATGTCATACAATGGTATCATATGGTACAATGGTATCATATGGTACAATGGTATCATATGATACAATAGTACCATATGGTACAATATACCATATAGTACATTGTACCATATGGTACATTATACCATATGGTACAGGGTACAGGGACCCTAATGGAAATAAGTCTGTCTGACTTTTTTGGGTTATCCTAGGTTGTCCAAACATATGCTGCTAAGTATGATATTCTATGTAACTTTATTTGTGTATACCTAAATAAACTTACTTATGATGCCACATGTGCTTGAGTAAGTTTATTCAGGTGTACAGAAATACAATTACATAGATTATCATACATAGCAGCATACGTATAAAATCCTAGGATAACCCAAAAAAGTCAGGGTTACTTATTTCCATAGGGATCCTTGTATCTGTACCATATGGTGTCCTGTACCATATGGTGTCCTGTACCATATGGTGTCCTGTACTGTATGGTACCCTGTGTCATATGGTACCCTGTGTCATATGGTACCCTGTGCCATATGGTACCCTGTACCATATGGTACCCTGCACCATATATTATCCTGTACTGCATGGTACCCTGTACCATATGGTACCCTGCACCATATATTATCCTGTACTGCATGGTACCCTATACCATATAGTACAATGTACCATATGGTACCCTGTAACATATGATACCGTGTACCATATGGTCAATAGGTGTTGGTGGCATGAGACACCAGCCAAGACAGTAAGTGACGACGCAAGCTAGCTACTGACTCCACAGTTTCCGAGACAAAGTGCTTTGTCATCCAACTCAAGGAACATGTCGAGTTCCTGTACATTTGTCAGTATATAATAGAACATTACTAATATACAACATTTTTGCATATTTTTGTTGTAAACAACTATTGTAAACAAAATAATGATGAAAATATTAGTGTGTTTATTGTGTTGAATACAACAGTACCATTTGGTACAATGAACCATATGGTATCATTGTACTGTATGGTACAATGTACCATATGGTACCATTGCACCATAAGGTACCATTGCACCATCTGGTACCATTGTATCGTATGGTACCATTGTACCAAATGGTGCCATTGTACCATATTCTACCATATGGTACCATTGTATCATATGGTACCATTGTATCATGTGCCATTGTACCATATGGTACCATTGTACCATATGTACAATTGCACTATATAGTACCATTGCACCCTATGGCACGATTGTACCATATGGTACTATATGGTACCGTTGTATTTAACACAATAACCACACTAATATTTTCATCATTTTGGGTCAACTTCCTGCCGCTGTATCTCGGTAAGTACTGATCAGAATTTTTTTTTTTGTTTTATTACCTTCACAAAAATATTATCTTTAAGTTTGAAAGAAAAAATAATTTTTTTTTTTTTCAAAATTTCTTGGACACTGGGGCACCACTTCTGATTTTGGCCTTGGACCCTGAAAGGGTTAATGCCACCTTTGCATCATTTATAACATTTCTGATGTATTTTTAACCCTTTGACTGTTGCAAGCCCCTTTCTGAAACTGTCATTCTATTGAAAAATTTTTGAAAAAAAAAAAAATTTTTTTCTTATGAAATGATAATCTTTTCCTGATGGTAATGACACCAGAAGTATGAAATTTTATCAAAAACTTGCGGAATTACGCTCCTGTGAAGTTAGTGATCTCGGCAATATATACGCATTAGTGATTTCACTGACTTTGAGCCCTCTTTTCAGCCAATTCCATTGTTCCAGTCGACCAAACTCGTAGCTATTTCTTTAGAACTCTATTTTTTCTATCAGTTGAGTACAAGAAACTGCCCATTTACGGATTTCAACTACCCAATAAAGTGGTCAGACATTGACAGTTTAGCCAATTTCATGCAAATTAACCCTTTCAGGGTTGACAGACCTTCTCCCAAACGTGTTCTTAGGGTCGAAAAATTTTCGAAAAAAAAAAAATTCTTATGAAATGAGAGAGCATATTTTTGTGAGTATTATAGGCCAAAAAAAATTTTTTTGTGATCAATACTTATCGGGATATGGAGGCGTGAAGTTGACAGAAAGTGAGCCGCTTACGGCAACATCGCCGACTGCCGGTCACATGGTAATAGTTTATTTATTATTTTTTCTACTTTTCTTTTATTTTTTATCATTTCATTTTTTCAAGTAACTTTTATGGTTTGCGAGACCAATATAAGCCATATTTTTGATATATACACTCGTATACTACACAACAACTGTACAAACATTGATACGTGAACATTTTCACCTAATTTAGTCACATACTATTGTCTAGAAATATATACAGTGGACCCCCGGTATTCGATATTAATCTGTTCCTGAGAGCTCATCGAATACCGAAAATATCGAAAAGCGAATCAATTTTCCCCATAAGAAATAATGGAAATCAAATTAATTCGTGCAAGACACCCAAAAGTATGAAAAAAAAATTTTTTTACCACATGAAATATTAATTTTAATACACACACTGAAGAAAACATGCACAGTTACATGACATTTACCTTTATTGAAGATCTGGTGATGATTGATGGGATGGGAGGAGGGGAGAGTGTGGATGGTGTTAGTGTTTAGAAGGGGAATCCCCTTCCATTAGGACTTGAGGTAGCAAGTCCTTTTCTGGGATAACTTCCCTTCTTTTAATGCCACTAGGGCCAGCTTGAGAGTCACTGGACCTCTGTCGCACAACAAATCTGTCCATAGAGCTCTGTACCTCCCGTTCCTTTACGATTTGTCTAAAATGGGTGACAACATTGTCATTGTAATAGTCACCAGCACGGCTTGCAATAGCTGTGTTAGGGTGATTTTCATCCATAAAGGTTTGCACTTCAACCCACTGTGCACACATTTCCTTAATTTTTGAAGTAGGCACAATGGATTCCACAACTGGCATAGGCTTCTCAGGGTTAGCCCCAAACCCTTCAAAATCTTTCTTAATTTCCATACTAATTCTCATCCTTTTTACCACAGGGTTGGCACTAGAAGCTTTCTTGGGGCCCATGGTGACTTATTTTGCAGAAACAAGCACCAAAAACAGTGATAATATGGATAATGTGGAATGTACCGAATGTATCCTTAGATGCGCGCACACTGGCTGGCTTGTAAACACTGGCACACAAGGGGCAGTTCAGGCCACACGTGGACATGTCTCATACGAATCGTATCGAATACCGGCTTTTCAATCGGATACCGAGGCAAAATTTTTGCGTTAAAATGCATCGAATACCGGATTTATCGAATACCAATGCCATCGAATACCGGGGGTCCACTGTACATAGTGTTTAAAGGTCCTAGCAATGTTTTGGTGGGGAAGGGAGTGTGGGTTTGTGTGAACAACATGGCTGGCAAGGCGGCTGGCTGGCTGGCTGGCTGGCTGGCCGGCTGGCCGGCTAGCCGGCTAGCTGGCTAGCTCCTTGGCTGGCTGGCTAGTTGGCTGGTTGGCTGGCTGACTGGCTGACCAGCTTGCTGGCTGGCAGGTTGGCTCTGTCTCTGTGTCTGTCTCACAGGTACACTTAAATATAATCATACATAGTGTAAATTACTTTGGATACACAGAGAATGTAATAATAATAATAATAATAATAATAATTGAAGCATTTTGTATGAGAGTGTGTCACTCGTCTTATCTCTCCACTAATGACAGTGGTGACATTTGATGTCTGTGAAGAGGCTGGGCCAGGAGCTGAGTCTCGACCCCTGCAACCACAATTAGGTGAACACACACACACACACACACACACACACACACACACACACACACACACACACACACACACACACACACACACACACACACACACCCAGCCAGCCAGCCAGCCAGCCAGCCAGCCAGCCAGCCATGTTGTTTACACAAACCCGTGCTCCCTTTCCTACCACCCTCACTGCCTCCCCCCCTTTACTGCCTTTCCCCACCACCCACACTGCGGGAGAGTGAGGTATTCCTTATGCTTGGCTTGATGACAAAGGCGCACTGAATTACCACTCCCACAATGCAATGCAGGTGCATAGATTTTTTCCTACTGCACACACTTACCACATAGACCCATTCTATCACATGTAAGCCTACCAGCTCTCTCACCCTCAATTTGAAGGCACT